TGCTGGGGTGTGGTCGTGCTGGGGCGTGGTCGTGCTGGGGTGGGGTCGTGCTGGGGTGGGGTCGTGCTGGGGTGTGGTCGTGCTGGGGTGGTCCGCACCCTGTGATGCATCGATCGGGTCGTGCTGGGGTGTGGTCGTGGTGGGGTGTGATCGTGGTGGGGTGTGGTCGTGTTGGGGTGTGGTCTTGCTGGGGTGTGGTCTTGCTGGGGTGTGGTCGTGCTGGGGGGGTGGTCGTGCTGGGGGGTGGTCGTGCTGGGGCGTATCTATAGGCACATACGTAACAAAATAAGCGTTTCGCTCGAGACATCCTCGGCAAACTCTGCGGAGCAAGCGTTTCGCTCGAGACATCCTCAACGCACGAAAAAGTGGCCCGCACCCTGTGATTTATCGATCGGGATTTCAAAAACAAGCGTTTCGCCTGAGACATCCTCAAATTTTAATTCGCCGGCCTCCTTCGACCTCGATATTGATCAGGGAAAGAATCCGCCGGCCTCCTTCAAGTTGGGCACCGGGGACATGTTTACATACTAAAAGAAAACCCTGGGCCCGCGCCATTTCCGGGAACAAACGAGTCCCGACACTGCTTCACGGCGAAGCCAAAGCCTCATGACTTCGCTCTTCCATTGCCAATTCTCCGAGAGAGGGGGCCGGCGGCAGGGGGCGAAGCCCTTACGGACTAGCCTGGCGATGGACCCAATCATACGCAGTTGTGAATACCGCAATATGAATTCCATCTTCGCCCGCGCCCCCCATGTGACCAGGACTTCCCACCGGAGCCCGCCATGCTCAGGGACGCGTTCGTGGCCGTCTTCGCGGGCGCCGACGACGACGAAGACGGCGTCCCTCCAACTGAGGAGCACAGGCAGGAGAGGGCTCTGAGAGCCATGAAGGAGGAGGTGGCGCTGCGCGTCCACAAGGCGGAGTACGACGCCCAGGCGCGGTTGTTCAAGCAGCACAACTATGGGGCCACGATCCTCGTGAGGGGTGTGCCGAAATGGCCCGAGGCCGCCATGCGAACCATTCCACTGGCGCCTTCGGTGGAGCCCCTATGGAGCCACGATCCTCGTGAGGCGGTGTGCCGAAATGGCCCGAGGCCGCCATGCGAACCCTGCCACTGGCGCCTTCGGTGGAGCTCCTATGGGGCCACAGTCGTCGTGAGGGGTGTGCCGAAATGCTCCCAGGCCGCCATGCGAACCCTGCCACTGGCGCCTTCGGTGGAGCTCCTATGGGGCCACGATCGTCGTGAGGGGTGTGCTGAAATGACCCGAGGCCGCCATGCGAACCCTGCCACTGGCGCCTTCGGTGGAGCTCCTATGGGGCCACTATCGTCGTGAGGGGTGTGCTGAAATGGCCCGAGGCCGCCATGCGAACCCTGCCACTGGCGCCTTCGGTGGAGCTCCTATAGGGCCACAGTCGTCGTGAGGGGTGTGCCGAAATGCTCCCAGGCCGCCATGCGAACCCTGCCACTGGCGCCTTCGGTGGAGCTCCTATGGGGCCACGATCGTCGTGAGGGGTGTGCCGAAATGCTCCCAGGCCGCCATGCGAACCCTGCCACTGGCGCCTTCGGTGGAGCTCCTATGGGGCCACGGTCCTCGTGAGGGGTGTGCTGAAATGGTCCCAGGCCGCCATGCGAACCCTGCCACTGGCGCCTTCGGTGGAGCCCCCTATGGGGCCACGATCCTTGTGAGGGGTGTGTCGAAATCGTCCCAGGCCGCCATGCGAACCCTGCCACTGGCGCCTTCGGCGGAGCTCCTATGGGGCCACGATCCTCGTGAGAGGTGCCGGAATGGCCCGAGGCCGCCATGCGAACCCTACCACTGGCGCCTTCGGTGGAGCTCCCTATGGGACCACGAAACGCTATGCTGTGTGGGTGCAACGCAGGGAAAAGGGGGGAGGGGGAGGAAGGAGGGAGGAGGAACGCGGGGACCGTCTCTTCAAAATGAGGACCCAACACCACAGGATGGCTGCGGAAACTGATAACACTTGTGATAAAGGAAGAAAGCAGACGAACAATACAAACACTAACACCCAGCGTACGAGTATCACCAGTGATACTACAAAGAAGAATAATGACATTAGTAAGACGGCTTTACCCTTGCACTTCTTCATCGTCCAATACGTCGTCGTGGTCGTCGTCGTCGTCGTCGTCGTCGTCGTGGTCGTGGTCGTGGTCGTCGTCGTCACCGTCGGCGTCGTATCTAGGCGGCACCCCATACGCGCTGCAACGCTTCCCAATGTACCTCCCACAAAGCTTCCCCCAACGGGGTTTACAGCTGGCCCGTATCACAAGGATGCGCGAGAAGGATGCAATGGCCATGGACGCCCACTTCGAAGCTTTTCGAGCGGGGGCGGCCAACGAAAGTGGCCAAGGATTGGTCGAGGAGACAAGGATTCAAGGGCACCCTTGGGAAAGTTCCCCATCCTCACTATGCGGGATGACTGTATAGAGTTTCATATTCCAATCTCCCTTCTTCCATTTCGGAGAGGGTTTTACCCCTCCCACTCCCCACTCCCCCTTGGTTCGGACGGGGGGGGGGGGGGCTCGCGGGTCGCTGGGGCGTCCGAGAAGGCATCGGATAGAAGACAACCATCATTGGTGTTCCTTTGGTGTTGGGCTCATTTTGGCCTCCCGCGCTGATATGGTATCCCCCCCTCTTTCATCGAGCTCCTCCAAGATGGTCCCAAGATGGCTCCAACGGCTCCCAAGAATGCCCCAGGAGAGTCCAGGAGGCTCCAAGAAACCCCCAACGGCCCCAGGAGGCTCCCCCGAAGCATTCAAGACGCTCCAGAAGGCCCACGGGACCGCCACACGACCCCCCAAGAAAACCCGGGAACAGCCCACGAAACTCTCAAGACAAATCCGAGGAGATCCAAGAGGCATCCAACACATCTCTGGCCTTTATGATCGCCCTCCTCCTCCTCCTCCTCCTCCTCCTGGTCCTCCTCTTCCTCATCGTCCTCCGAATTCCCCCTCATTTTCCCCCTCCTGGTATATGACGGCTTCCCCAAGTCCTTATTCCATTGCACGCTCCTCCACATTCCTGACCAAGGCCACTCGCAAGGGCATTGTTTCTGGATGGGCTGGTGGGGTTACGAAGCGTCTAAAATTGCATTCCTCATGTTCCTCTAGCCAGAAGAATATCGTCATGGAACAGGCCCAGAGGAATATCGCTTGACCAGCACAGAGGAGCAGGACATCGCCTTTTGAGGCCCAGTCTTGCGTTGGGAGGGCAAGGTTGAAGAAGAGCCTGATTTTCCTCAAGTGCCAGGCCCAGAAAGTGAAGCTTCAGAAGATGCTCATGTATCTGAAGACGGAGGTTCTGTTCGGAAGGAGCTGGTGCATCCCAATATTTCGTTGGTCATCAGCGTTGAGCGGTCGTGCGTGCTGTGCGACTTCATCTACGTCGGAATCCGACTTATCTTTTAGGCCCGCTGGTGGCGGAGGCGCCATGGTCTCGCTGGTGTTCGTGCGAGTATTGGGAGCTCGTTGTCGGCGAGCGGCTTCAAGAACCTGGCGAACCGTTTCCGAGCGGCAGAGGGTAAAAACTCTGTGTCCCTGAGGTCGTCGTTCCGTTCGATGTCGGAGCAGGGCGATATGGATTCACACGCATTGGTGGACCTTCTCAAGATGACCGTCGAGAAGGAGATTTTGATGAACCAGCAGCTGTCGTCCCCGATTTCGACCTCCTGATCCTAAGAGCGCGTCATTATCTGGGAATCTCGCCGTATGTTATCTTCCAACTTCTTGGTGAGCCGATCATCACCATATTCTGCATAATTTGCATCAGTTCGTTTCTCCTTCGCCACATGAAGGGGCCCGGTGCAATCTCACGCCTGTGATGTAGTCCCCAGTTGCCTCGTGCTTCTCGGAGCCTGCTGCTTCAGTCGTCCGCAGCTGCTACTCCTCCTCCTACTCCTCCTCCTCCTCCTCCTCCTCCTCCCATTTCCTTCAAAATAACTCCTCCCTGCCGCACTTTCCCGCGTGTCGGAAGGGCGGGCTGGGCGCTTCGCATCACAACTCCTCACAAACAATGCTCATGGAAGCTGCACTCTGCAACAGTTGCACGGGGTGGAGGGCGGGCCGCTTTCTCAAGATGTGGCGCGTCAGCGCCGCAAACATTATTCCTCCATGGCTGCGGCAGTTTCGCGGATGGTGGGAGGTTCCTTTGCAAAACGAGGCTCTCGCCTTCTCGCCGAACACAGCACTGTCGCTGAAAGTCTGCAACCGTTTCACAGGTGGAGGGCGCTTCCGCTTCAAGATTTGGCTCTCGCCTGAGCGCCGCGTGCACTCGTCTTGAACAATTGCAGCAACTTCGCGCGGATGGGCGGTGGTGCCGTTTCGAAATGTGACTCTCGCCTTGGCGCCGCGCACAGTCGTCTTAAATGTTTGAAGCAGTTTCACAGGCTCGTGTGGTTGAAGTCCCAGGACTGGTGTCTGGCACGATTCAGAACTGTCAAGGCCCAATTGTCATTATTCCTCTAGTTGTCCTGTCTTCTCCTCCGTCCTCCTCTCCCCTCTCCTCCTCTCTGCTCCCCCCCTTGTTCCTCCTCACTACTACTTCTCCTCTTTTACTTTTCACGATCCTGTTCCCCCTACCCCACATACGTGCCCTCCTCTCCCCCCTTCTGCCCCTTCCCCTCGCGTCTCAACGCGACATGTACTTCTGAAATCTGAAGACACATGCAACCCTGACTACGCACGCAGCGACTAACGTAAACACTGTTTCATCCTGATTCGCCCATCTGGGCAATCACCTCACAATGATTTTGACATGGGTGAAAAAGGTCATGAAAAACACGGGCACTTCTGGACCCTGGGGGCTTAATATTTTGTGTCTTGCCATCTTGAATCGCTGTTTGACGGTCTTGGGCCTGGAGACAGTCGGAGCCCGGAAACTGCTACACAAGCCCAGGACTCGTTGTCCTCATCATTCATGACGGCTGCTGCTCCTCAAGTATCGTCGCTGAAGACAGACGCGCAACTGCCCCAACCTTCCCGCCAAACGCCATCGGCACTGCATATGGAGGCACGGGCGCCACCTGAAATACACGCCACTCCCCTCACGTGATTATCAAGCTTGACCTCATGCCTCTCTCTCTCTCTCTCTCTCTCTTTCTCTCTTCCTCGCAATCGAGTCAGGCGGCGTTCTAGTGTTAAGTGTGCCCGAGCGCTGTAACATGCAAGAAGCGCGAACAAGCAAGCCAGACCGCATATCGACGGTGAACGCGCGGACGAAACCTGCCGTCGCAAGTCGAACACCACCAGCCCGTGAGGGTGGCAGGCGCACCGTTGCCCGCGCGCGGGCCCTGGAAAAGGCTTGTGGGCAAAACCTGCCTGACTCACTGCCTCAATTGCCTCACATGGTCTCGCTCGTGGGCGCCCCGCACATCCGGGTGTTCAACACTCTGGAGCAACGATTCGAGTACCCGTGTTTTCCGCAACGAAGATGACCAAATGACCAAATCGTCCGAGCGTGTCCGAAATCAGAAACATGCCATAAGCGCGGGAGGGTGGTTCCGCGCACGTCGAGAGGCAACGCAGCGAAAAGGACGACCACGCCTCTTGTGCACCGCACCGTCGCAACTGGCAGCCCCGGCCCCTCCTCCTGTTCCCCTTTCCCTCTTCTCCTCCTCTTCCTCCTCCTTCTCCTTCTCTTCCCTCCTTCTCTTGTTCTGACCTCAACGACGCCATCCACTTCGCACTGCGGCTTGCCTCCGCGTCCTCTGGAGCCTCCCTTTGATCCGCTAGCCAGCTCGGCCAACCAATCGCACCGGCATGCATTCGGAAAACAACATGCTTGAATCGTTGGGCGAAGTCTAGCAGTCGAGCACACCAGGGCAGCAAATCAAGGCAGAAATTCGAGCCGCGGAATCTTGGAGCTCAAAATAACAATGATGCCATTCGAATCGTGCCTGCAGGATTCAAGTCAGACTGGCCACCCGGCAAGGCTCGTGCTGGGAATGTCCCCGCGTCTGTCCCCATGGGTCGCCCCCTGTCGCTCCTCAGCTCGCTTCGTAGAGAGCCATCGGCGACATCGCCGCTCAACCCAGACGGGGTGAGCACATCAGGATCGTGTTTGGTCTCGCTCGGCGCCGCGCGCGGCTTGCACTCCCCATAGCCTGGGCAGGGCTGAAGGTGACAGCCTTTTGTCCGCCCACTCCCCAGAGTCTGCTCGCAGCTCGGACGGTGCGGAACGACAACGGCTGCCTCAGAATCACTACGGTCATCGGCCTGACCTAAAGAACGATAAATAAGGAACGAAGCCCCTTTTTATCCCAAGGAATAACGCATAAGGAACGATAAGTAATAGATAACGCATACGGAACTGTAAATAACGCATGTAAATCCTAAGGAACGACCGAGCCCCTTTTGAAAAGGAAGTGTCCCTTATTCAAGCCGCTCGCTGTACGACAAGTGGCGCGCGCTCGTCACTCCGCGTCCCGATGGCGACAACGCCGCCCACTTGCAAGCTCGCTATGCGGGTCTGACTTTTGAAAAAGGTCAGCCCAAGAAATGCAGCAGAAGCGCTGCATGGAATTAGACCGGCGAACAACCCAAACATACGCAGTTGTGAATACCGCAATTGTGAATACCATCTTCGCCCACGCTCCCTATGTGGCCACGGCTTCACGCCGGAGCCCGACATGCTCAGGGACATGTTCGCAGCCGTCTTCGCGGGCGCCGACGACGACGAGGACGGCGCTCCCCTCACCGAGGAGCAGAAGCAGGAGAGGGTTCTGAGAGCCATGCGGGAAGCTGCCACTAGCGCCTTCGGTGGAGCTCCTATGGGGCCACCCTCGTGAGGGGTGCCGAAATGGCCCGAGGCCGCTATGCGAATCCTGCCGCTGGGGCCTTCAGTGGGGCACCCTATTGGGCCACGATCCTCGTGATGGGGTGTGCCGAAATGGCCCAGGGCCGCCATGCGAACCCTGCCACTGGCGCCTTCGGTGGAGCTCGGCCACGATCCTCGTGAGTGGTGTGCCGAAATCGCCCACTGGGACCTTAGGTGGAGCTCCCTATGGGGCCACGAAGCGTGTGAGGGGTGTGCCGAAATTGGTGTGGGGACCGCCATGCGAGTTCCGCCACGGGGACCGTAGTTGGAGCTCCCTATGAGGCCACGAAGCGTGTGAGGGGTATGCCAAAATGGGCGCGGGGACCGCATGCGAGTTCCGCCACTGGGACCGTGGTTGGAGCTCCCTATGGGGCCACGAAACGTGTGAGGGATGTGCCAACATGGGCGCGGGGACGCCATGCGAGTTCCGCCACTGGGACCGTGGTTGGAGCTCCCTATGGGGCCACGAAACGTGTGAGGGGTGTGCCAACATGGGCGCGGGGACGCCATGCGAGTTCCGCCACTGGGACCGTAGTTGGAGCTCCATACGGGGCCACGAAATGTGTGAGGAGTGTGCCAAAATGGGTGCGGGGACGCCAGGCGCGATCCGCCACTGGGACCGTAGTTGGAGCTCCCAAGCCCCAAAGTTTCTTTAAGTATCCCAGTGCGACCCTACCTAGGAGTTGGAACATCTAGGAAAGCAACATCTACATCTACACCAACAGCTACATTAACATCTACACCTGCATCTACATCTACATCAACATCAACAGCGAGACTCACATCTACATGTACATATACACCTACATCTACACCTACATCTACATCTACATCTACACCTACATCCACATCCACACCTACACCTACATCTATATTTACATATACATGTTCGCATTGGTGTTGCTGTTGCTTTGCATTGTCTTGTCTTTGCTTTTGCTTGTGCTTTTGCTGTTGCTTGTGCTGTTGCTTTGTTGTTGCGTTGCTGTTGGTGTTGCTATGCTGCGCTATGCTATGCTATGTTATGCTATGCTATGCTGCGCTATGCTATGTTATGCTATGCTATGCTATGCTGCGCTATGCTATGCTATGCAATGCTATGCTATGCTGCGCTGCGATGTGCTAAGCTATGCTACGCTATGCTATGCTATGCTATACTGCGCCATGCTGTGCTATGCTATGCTATGCTATGCTATGCTGCGCTATACTATGCTGCGCTATACTATGCTATGCTATGTTATGCTGTGTTGTGCTATGCTAATGCTGCGCTGCGCTAAGCTAAGTTGAGCTAAGCTAAGCTCAGCTCAGCTAAGTTAGGCGAGGCTGAGCTAAACTAAGCTAAGCAAGGCTAGGCTGAGCTTAACTTAGCTAAGCTAAGCTAGGAGAAGCTAAGATGAGATAAGCAAAGCTAAGCTAAAGGAACGTCGCTGGGGGAACCGCGGGGCGGATCCTGGGGGAACCGCCCGGGGCGCATTCCGCTGCCCGGCCCTTAAGCCTCAGAGTAAGAACCCTTCTAGGCAGAACCTAGGTAGGGAATACCCCCCGGGGCAATAATGAGAAACTTAATAATTGTTCCGCCGGCTCATTGACGGATTGGGACCCCGACAATAATTGGAACTTGATTATTCACGTCGGCGGATGCATGAGGTCATGAGAAGTGCTCACAAATCCCATCGCTCAACGCCTGGCGGCCTCCTCCTCCTCCTCCTCCTCCTCCTCATCTCCGACACACCACCGCCACCGCTGCTGCGCGCACTGGAACATGCACCGCGGAGGCCTGAGACGACAAGAGAAATGCACCGCGGAGGCCAGAGACAACAAGAGAGGAGGAGGGACGAGTTCCTATTCCCCGCCGAAAGCTTCGGGGGGGGAGGGCGCGCATCGTTAAAGACCCTCTGCGGTTATGGGGCCACGAAACGTGTGAGGGGTGTGCCAAAATGGGCGCGGGGACGCCATGCGAGTTCCGCCACTGGGACAAGGGGGACACGGATAACGAGGATGATAACAACGGAGTCGGTGGTGAGGAGCGGGGTGCATTCGCCCCCAGCCTCGCGCTCTGTTCGCGTTTCTTAACCCACTCGGACAGTACAGCAGACAGTCCAGCGGACCAGACCTTGCAAGTGAGAGCTGGCTGTAGTTTGAAGCGCAGCCGCTGGGGGGTTCGCCCAGATTGCGATGGGGTGCTTGAAGATATTATGCCAGGCACTTTCGAGGCAATCCAGTTCGGGAGATACGTTGTCATCGTGTGCGTTTTGTCTACTGCTGCCTTCGCTGAGCCCGTCCTCATCCCTAGGGGAGGGTGAGGTGAGGCCGACGGGCGAGAAGACGATGACGGGAGGATGCGACCTAAATCGTGTCCAAACCTGGCAATCAGCTGAACCGACAGCCTCCCTGGCCGCCGCGCCAGGAAGCAGACGTCGGCCCAGCTGATGGCCAAATCAGCTTACGCCTGGAACCCATCTGGGTCGCGCCCTGCCCCCTGCCAAGGTGGGCCCGAAGTCCCTCCGCTGATCCTGAGTCTGGGAGGCTCTACACGTGCCCCTCTTATGTGCAATCCCCCATTTCTCATCTGTCTCCCTCCTCGTGCTCCCCCTCCCCCGCCCGCTCATTCCGCCCGCCTGATCCGATCTCACCGTCGCCCGTCTCATTCGCCCTCCCCCTTCCGCGTCGTTCCCCGCGCCCCGAGGAACGGCGCGGGGTCGCGGCGGCAGGGTGCCTTGCCGACCCAATAGCGAATGACAAGCTGGTTTCCTCCTCCTCGCCCGCTGAGGCCCCTCCCGAAGCTTCTTGGGCGGCCCGAGGCCCCCCTGGGGCTCTCCAAGTTTCTCCAAAGATCCCAAGACGGCCCGGGAAGTCGGAGGCGGCAAGGGGGTCTGAGCTGGACCAACCCAAATCGGTCAAGTGGGAGGACGAGGGCAAATCTGTTCAAAATTTCCCCCTAGACCCATCCCGAGGTCGAACCTGACTGGCTTTTCGAGCCGCGTCCAGCCCTGGCGACGAGGGTTTCCCCCCCCCCCTTTCCCTGCTGGCCGGAGCCGGTGCCGAGTCACCTCAGCCCGGCTCCAACCAGGCACGGGAGCTGAAGACCACAGCTCTTCCAGTCGTGGCTGGCCTGTCGTTGCCGCCGCTGTCAGGCGACGGCGGAGGCTGGGAGGAGGATGATGATGATGACAAGCCCTGAGGTCAGGGTTCGGCCGCCTGGCCAGCCTCCTCAGATGAGGAGCACGTGCTGGCCGACGGGCCTCACGACCTCTGCGCCAGCGCGACGAGCTGCTTGAAAGCCGCAGCCCTGGCCACCGCGCCCTCCCTCGACTCCTCGGAGTCGGCTCTGGCCCGCTCCGCCCGCGGCGACGCAGCAGCAGCGGCAGCCTCGACGCCGTGCTCGAGGCCGCCGAGCGAGGCACGGCGGCCGCCGTCCAGCGCGGCCACGCGGCCGCCGAGGCCGCCACCTTGCCCACGTCCTTGCCCCCGTACGCTCGGTGCGGCCCGAGGATCCCAGGGCCCTGGCCAACCGCCGAGGGCGGGGACACTTTCCCAGGCAGGCCCGTGGCGCAGAGGGGGGTACGTGGCACACGGCCTGCACACCGCCCCCGCTGCTGCTGCCACGGCGCCGCGCCCGCTGCCCTCGAGCTCGGCCGAGGCAATGGCGCCGTCGCGCTCGTCCAGGCTGGGTGCGGCTGCGCCAGGGGCCTGCTGCCCACGCGCGCCAGCCGCCGCCAGGAGGCGGGCGACGCGCTCGGCGAAGCCCAGCGAGCCCAGTGCCGTCGCGGCGTGGCCGTCCCGCGCGCCCGACACGCCACCGGCCGCGGCCGAGCCGCTCGCCACCCCCGCAGCAGCCTCCTCGGCGTCGTGCGCGGTGTCGCCCAGCGCGCCCACGGGGTCGACGTCCAGCGCGTCCGAGCCGTCGGCGCCCGCCGAAAGGCAGTCCGCCGCCCCCGCAGCTGCAGCCTCCGCGTCGTGCTCCGCGTCGCCCAGCGCGCCCTTGGTGTCGACGCCCAGCGCGTCCGAGCCGTCGACGACCGCCAGCGATCTGCCCGCCTCCCCAGCATCAGCCGCCTCAGCGCCGAAGCCCAGCGCGCCCAGGAGGCCGTCGTCCAGCGTGCCCGAGCTGCCGAGGCCCATCGCTAGGCCGAGCGCCTCCGCAGCAGCTGCAGCCTCGGCGTCGTGCTCGTCGTCGCCCAGCGCGCCCTCGACCGCGACGTCCAGCGCGGCCGAGCCGTCGAAGGAGTCCTTCTCCAGGCCGAGCGCCTCCGAGGCTGCTACCTCCTGAGTGTCGTGCTCGTCGTCGCCCAGCGCGCCCACGTACTGTGCGTCCAGCGCGCCCGAGCCGTCGAAAGCCGCCGCCGAGCCGCGCAGCGCCCCCGCGCCAGCAGCCCCAGCAGCAGCATACTCCGCGACGTGCTCCACGCTGTCCGCCGCGGCCGAGGAGATGACGCACTGCGTGGTCTTGCGGCGCGGTCCCGTGCTGGCGGCGGCACTGGGCCTCCCAGCAGCAGCAGCTCCTTGGGCTCCCCTGAGTCGTGCCCCAGCACGCCTATCCCTTCGAGCTCCGCGAACTGCCGCCTGCTGGAAATCTCCTCTGGCCATCGCGTGTCCGAACATGGTGTTCCTCCCTTCCTGCTCGTCACACCAGGACTGTGCCCTTTCACGCACTCGTTGGTGAAGTGCAGCCATTCTGCTCTCAAAACCTGCCTCAGGCACTGCCCCGTCCGTGCCACTGAGGATGTCAACCTTCGTGAAAGTGGTGTGAACCTCGCTTGTCGTCTCCAGCCGTCGAAGAGGGGTGGTGCTGTCGATGAACTTCTTCAGCTTCTTGAAGGGACCGAAGCCACGCCTCAGGTTGTGGAGGACCTCGAGGCCCTTGGTAGTGGCGACTGCGCAGGGCTGTCGCAACTTGGCCTTGCGCCGCTGCAGCGCCCAAGCCCCACACTTGACACAGATGAACACTGGCCTGTCGGTGTCCTGCCCGTCCCTCTCCAAGGTGCCCCTCTGGTTGACCGCAACCAGCTTGTGGCCATTGGGGTTGCGCCGATGGTCCAGCAGGAAAGTGGGCGTCCCAGGGCACCCCGTGAGGGGGAGCGGTTGCCCAGGCATGTGCAACTGTAAGCAGGTGATGCATTGCACGCCCAGCTCGCCATCTTGCCATTGGTGCCATGTTGCCTTCCTTGTGCTCGCTGCTCGCCGCCAGGTCGGTGCCCTCCTGGTCCACCTGATTTGGTCGTCCTTGTCGAAGATGGGCATGACGTGGGCGATCAGCTTCGCTAACTGGCTTATTCTGTCTACGCCCTTCTGCATCTCCTCGACTACCTGCAGCTCGGGGGCGGGGTGGATCGCCGCTGCCTCCTTGGCCCTGCGGTCCGCTACAATGTTCGCGTCCGTTATCCTCCTCTGGCTGTCGGAGAGCGCTGCGTACTCGTCCCCAGAGCGGTGCGCTTTGACGTGGGCGCACTGCTGCACGTGCGTGAAGCCGTCGAGCGACTGCGCGAAGTGGGCGATGCACGCATAGGGGGTCCTGGCCTTCAGCTGCAGCTCTTTCTGCTTGTTGCCCAGATGGATGACGCCCTTGAAGTCGGCGTGGACGGTGCAGGGTCGGTCTGCAACCTGAGACACGAAGGCTGCCGCTAGATGCTCTCCGACGGCAGACTCTTGGGGTAAGGATGCGGGTGCTGCTCCGTGCATGGTCGCCAGCGGCATGTCTGAGCGGGGGTCCAGCAGGGCGAGGCTCCATCCTGCTCGCTGGAATTCCTTGATGGGCGGCTTGGTGCACGAGCCGTCAGTAGCGATCTCCATACTAGCATCGTCATCCCTGAGAAAATAGGCTGCCATCTGCTCAGGCTCCTGACATTCTTCATCTGGTACTGGGACTCCTTGGCCGTCAAGTATGACGCTGGTAGTGCCCAAACTCATTTTCGGAACATCAGCACACGCTTATCCAAACATACCCTCAATAAAACCAGGCTCATCTGCATGCATGCGTAGCCCGTCGAGGAAATGTTGTGGGACCTCTGCATCAGCTCGAGTTTGCTGAACTTCAGGTCTTGTGCAATCAAGAAGTCGGTGCACCAGCGAGTCGGGAGCTCCACAGGGACACCTACCATCCGTGTTGTATCCACGCTGTTGGGCTCTCATCCTTGTCCAGACTCCACTGCACGCTACATTCATGATGCAGAACTTCTGGTGCGCCGTGTACCGTTTGCTGCGCATGGAGACCAGGGGGGCTAGGATGTCGAAAGTGGCACGCTTGCCCTCACCAAGGCCAATCTTGCCCGCTAGGTCTCGCTCATGCTGACATCGAACGCCTTGCTGCAACATCTGGGGCATTAAGCTTGGGGTGAGCTGCTCCACAAATACCTGATCCCCTCGATGGTTACGCCACCTCAGTGCCGAGGTTGCTGTCCAGCCTGCCCGCGCCAGCGAGAGGGCAGCTCGTTAGAGAGGCCCACGGGTAGCTCCCCACGAGCTGCATACCCCAGGTACTTCCACCGCTCTTCGCCACCACGTCGTAAGTAGTGCCAGAGGTACTGGTGCCTGAGTAGGTTGCGATACTGCCATCCAGACCATCCGCGACCACTGCAGCACTGGCGCCATCGCAATCGCCACTGTGGGGTCGCCCAGTAGCACCACCTTGGCCGAGGCCGAGACGCCCCCATGACAGGGTTTGCGGAACTTGTCGGAGTCTGTTCGCAGCTTGTGGAGCTCCCTGCCGGCGAGGCCCGTGATCTCCACGCCGAAGGTGGCCGCAGGTCGAGCTCCAGCTCGGAATATCTTGGCCGTGCGCTGCGTCTGCTGTCCTGGTAGTCGATGTCTGAATCGCCCCAGCTTGCGCAGCCTCTGCTTGTAGATCTTGTGGCGTGCCTGCTGCTTGGCGCGGAGGAGCTTCCCTCGCCTCCTCCGTGCTCCCGCGAAGTCAGTGCCCAGGTAGGTCGCCCGACTGCGATTCATGTCAGCAGGAAGTTGCAGCTGCCGTACCACTTCCTTCCCAATATCATTTGAGCTGGCCACCACAGCAAGCTTATCATTAATACGGGCGCCGAGCTTCTTAGCCACCTTGAAAAAGGCATTGCCCGCCTCGACCGCCTGCAGGATGACACTCTCCTTGGCGGCTCCATTGATACCGAGGGAGGTGTCGTCAATGTAGGACGCGAACCTTACCAGCGGGTGGAGCGTGACGTAGATATCGTACTGCTCGATGGCGTGCGCCTTTATGACCACGTCTGCGTAGCCATCGCCTGCTGGGAGGCCGAACTTTGCATGCCGTGGCTGCGCGCCGTGATGCTGGTGGAGACGTATCACTCGTGGTCCTCTCCACTGGTTGTACACAATTTTTACCATCGCCAAGGGCATTCCAAGCCTCAGCAGCTTGTCCCTTGCTTCGTCCAGGGGAATCAGCTCGTAGTACTTGCTGTAGTCAGCAATGATGGTGGCCGTGTGCCGCCCTGCCTCTGCATTCTGCTCCGCATCCGCTGCCAGGATCCAGGCACTGTCGACCGCGCTCCTGTTCTTGGCAGCCGCCCAATAGGGCCTTCGCAGGGCCTCTTGCAGAGGTAGGAGGGCAGATTTACGTAGTCGTTGCCAGACTCTGTAGGCCATGGAGTATAGGATGATCAAATGGTGGCCTCCAGCGGCCTTGGGCAGCATCGGCATCACCATCCACGTCAGCTGGACAGGGAAGAGGCCCAGCGCCTCGCAGGCCAGCATGATGTCGCACAGGCCCTCCAACGCGTCATCGCTGAGGTGCTCTAAGTGCGTGGGGTGGAGGCCGTCCAGGCTGCTGGAGGTCTTGATGCTGAAGGTACGGGAGGCGCGCCGAAGTTCCTCTGGTGATGGCCGTGCGAGGGTAGACCTATCAGGAATCCACGCCTGGGGAGGCTCCTTCACCGCCTTCCACAGCGCTGCGTGCGTATCCTCCATATCCTTGACTACAAAGTGCGGGTGCCCTGTGATGCCGTTCTCCGAGTCGCTAACCGTGGTGGGGGCCTGAACTGCTCGCACGCGAGTGACCTTGTGGAGCTTCCCCGCTCCGCCCGCACAGGCCCCGTCACACCATTCTCTCCAGCGCCTCGAAGATTCCTTGTTCGCTAGCTGCATGGCAAAGTTAACATCCTCGTCGATCTCCTCCGAGAAGGTCATGATGTCCTCACTGCTGAAACTCCTCTGCGCAATCTGCCGAGCATGCCGAACTGATGCGTCGAGCCTCGCGCTGAGGTTCTGCCCACAGTAGTCTACACTGAGGAAGCCTTGCAGCTCGTTGTCGAGAAACAGTCGGCCCTCGGGTGTTCTGGCGTTCGCCTTTGCGGTGATGAGGCCCGCCAGGCAGTCCTGCAGCCACTTCCATCCATCCGCGACCGCCTGTACCTCATCCTCCGTGAGGACCTGGTGCTCACGCTCGACCCACTTGGCTTGGAGCGGGCGCGCGTAGGCGCTGGCCCGCGTCTCCGTACCAGTGAGGTGCCCGACCCTCGAGGCTGCCCTGGTCGCCCATCTGCCCCAAGCCTTCGAGAGGAAACGCCAGGCGACTGCAGCGGGCGCCACCTTGGCCATGCTCAGCGCCTGCTCAGCGAAGCTGCGCTCCAGGGGCCAGCTGCTCTCCTCGAGGAAAGGTCCGTGCACAATCTGCGCTGGTATCTTCGCACCGCCTACGTAGGTGAGGTACCTGAGCTTGGTGCCCTCCGCTGTCAGTTGAAGCTGAACTGGTCGATGCGGCTTTACCGACCAGGTCAAGTCTGCGTTGCATGCAGCTAGCATGCGCATGGCTCCCGTGGTCAGCCCGAAGTAGTCGATGGTTGACACCGACGCCGCTGTCCTGCAGGTCGCGTGCTTCGGGGTGACCATCTCCAGCTGCGCGTGCACGGGGAAGCCGGAGTTCTTGACAACCTGCACGTCCATGTTCCAGTCACCGCCGATGATGCCAGGGTGCGCCTGGCCCGCGAGCGCGAGCCCCACCGTCATGAGTATACTTGCGTTGCGGCTGCTCATGCCCTCCCCTGTGTGGAGGTGCACGTTGACGACGTTGAGCGGCGGCCAGTTCGGCAGCTCCACGACGACGTGTTGAGCCCTGCCACGGACGAGCTCGGTGCCGTGCGCAATGGTCTCGTTGACGCTGCCTGCACGTCTGGGCGGGGCATCGCCAGGGTAAGTGGGCCCGCGCAGCCCGATCCCCTCCCTGGCGAAGACTGCCAGGCCTGCGGAGGGGAGGTACCCTCGTGAGGGCAGCCCTGGCACGATGAAGCTTTGCCAGCCGCGCGCCGTTGCCCAAGAAGAGAGGCTCTCGCAGTCATCGATGCCGTAGCCTATCTCCTGAGCCATGATGACCATTGCTGTTGACCTTCTCAGCCGCTTCTGGAGGGTTAGCTTTCCCTGGTTGGCGTTGAAGGTCTCGAAGGTGTGCGTGATGGTGACCGCTGCTGGTGCGTGTAGCTGCTTGGCGCCAGCGCTGGCAGCCAGTAGCCCGCTGACCAGGGGCGGGTTACCCAGGCATCGTGCCTGTGCCCAGGGAGCCTTCAGCAGTCCTGCGGTGCTTGCTGTGCTGGACCTGCGTGAAGGCGTCGCCCAGCTTCTCCTTGGTCCAGTCCGTAGGCTGCTGTCCGCTGCTGAGGAGCTGCTGCCAGAGGGCGCCGACGTCATCCTTGGCCAGCTCCACCCAGGCGGCTCCGCGCTTATCGCCTCCTCGAGGCTGTGCGTCGCCGTCGGCGTCTTCGTCGTCCATGTCATCGTCATCCCGAGCTGGCGGTCCGTCTGCTGCGCCTGCGCCACCGCCCTCAGCATGAGGAGCATGAACACCAGGTTCCTCAGCCATGACCGTAGCCAGCTTCTCCGCCGCCTGCTGGCGGAGGGCCGCCTGGATCTTGCCGAAGTGGGGGCTCGCCTTGAACTGCTCGAGGGCCTCCTTCGCGCCATCGTCGTCGAGCTGCTCGGCGAGGTCGAAGCCAACCAAGTCTTCCTCCTTGATGACTGGGTGGGGCTTCTCACCACGTGCAGCCTGCATGGTTTGCTCGTGCTTCGCATTCTCCTTGCGCAGGACTCCACCTCAGCCTGTTTAGCCGCAGTGGCCTCCTGCTTATCCTGGATCTTGCGCTGGGTAGCCTCCAGCTGCGCCTCCAGGCCCTGCAGGTCGCTCGTGAAGCGGTCCAGCTGCTGCATGCACCGCGCGAGCTTCTGGGACGAGGCCTTGTAAGCAGCGCCTGGGGGGCGCAATTCACGCGCCTGCTGCCGAAGGACGTCGAGGGCCCGCTGGTGCAGGAGGTGAATTGGGCCGCCCTCTGCCTCCACGATCTTGCACTCCTTGAGGCTCTTCTCGTGGAAGTTGATCTTCGCCTGGAGCTCCGTGCGCTGCTGGATGTTGCCCTGCACGTGCTGCGCCTGCTCCTTGCAACCGGCGCCCGCTCCTGATGACGCTGGTGCCGTAGGCGATGGGGGCCCCTTGGTGCTGCCCGCGTGCTGGGAGATGCACTGCTGCACCAGCTCGCGGATCTTCTTCTCCGTGAGGCCGCTCTCCTTGGACCACGGGGCAGGCTTCCGCACGAGCCCTGTGCCTCCTGCTCTCTGCGAGGGCTTCTTGTTCCGCGCCTCCTGGTCCGCCTTCTTGGCAGCGTTGATGACCTTCTGAGAAGCCTGCCGCCCGCAGGAGCACACGATGCGGCAGGCCCAGTTGTTGTCCTTCCCACACTGGCATCCCCAGACAGGCTCTCGGGGGCCACGCAGCACTCTCGCCTGCGGCGGTGCAGGCGCCATCGCCCCTGCAGAGGAGCCGTGATGGGCGTCCAACCGCTGGGCCGCGCCGCGCAGCCTGGCTACCAGCGCAGGGGTCGTGCGCCCCGACCAGGCGTGGAGGAGGAACCTGTCCTCCCTGCGTTGTAGTCGCGCTCGATGATGGGCGGCAGCCTCCCGCGGAGCCGCCGTCGCGAGCGCTGGTCTCGGCGCGCGCCAGGAGCCTATCCCCTCGCCTGCCCCGCAGGCGCCCAAGGGGGAGGCAGCTCCTCGCGAGCCGAAAACTAGGCTGGGAGGAGGAGGAGGAGGAGGAGGAGGAGGAGGAGGAGGAGGAGGAGGAAGGAGGAGGAGGAGGAGGGGGAGGGAGGGGAGGGGGTCGGGCGGCACCCTCGCGCTGGCGTCCGCGCCGGCGGCGCCGCTGAACGTCGGCGGGGGCGCAGCCTCGGGCCGGCGAGGGCGAACGAGCTTCCCTCGAGAGGCCTCGATGGGCCTCCTCCTCCCTCCTCCTCCTCTCCTCCTCCTCCTCCTCCTCCTCCTCCTCCCCTCCTCCTCCTCCTCCTCCCTCGTTCCCTCTTCCCCTCCTCCACCTCCTCCCCTCTCCTCCTCCTCCTCCCTCCCTCCTCCTCTTCCCTTCCCCCTTCCCCTCCCCCTCCCCTCCCCCCTCCCCCTCCCCCCCCCCTTCCCTCTTCCCCCTTCCCCTCGGGTGGGTTCTCAGGCGTTTGAGCCCCCGAGTGTGCACTGCATCTCTCCGCTCCGGCCCTGGTGCCATCGTCGACGATGTCTGCTCCCTGCTGCGCCGGAGGCAACTTGGCCCGAAGAGCCCCCTGGTCGAGGCGCCGCCCCCTTCAGGACCCCTCTCCTCTCGGGGGGGCGCAACAAGGCGGGGTGCAGGGGCCGAGGTGGGGCTACAGACGAGCGCGCGATTAGCAACTCTTCGGTAGAACACGAAAAGCAGAACCGAAAAACGGAGCGCTTCACGACTGCGAAACAGAAGACGGAATGCCCGACTGTGACGCAGCAGACGGATTGCCATGCGGAGGAGAAGACGGGTTGCCCAGCCGGCTCCAACTCCCGTCCTCCCCCGCGACAGCTTGCCCCGCCTCCTGGGCAACCTTCGTGGGCCCACGGTGCGCCGAAGAGACGGTCGAGAGGGGGGGTGGAGGCCCCCGCCTCCACTCGTAGCGACGGGATGCTTAGAGGAAAGACTGCATAAACATACCTGCCAGTCGGAGAAGGTAGGTGAAAGCATAACATCGACAGGCGGATAAAGTAGATTGGGTTCGGGCCCGCCCAAAGTGCAACAGACGCGCTTGAAGCGGATCATCGATGTTTGACGTGGGAAGGCGCTTGAAGTGGATTGGGATCTGGGAGTCCGAGAACACCTGCTTCCAACGAGCGACCTGTAAGCCTTCGGAGCTCCGCGCGGATGAACTGGAGCGGCGGTGAGCCCCCCTGGCGCGGCCTCCGGCGCCGTCCCTGGCGCGCCCTGCGCGCCAGGGAGGGGGGCCCAGCGCCGATCCGAGAAACCCGCGCGGGCCTCCGAACGTCCGTGCTCATGCCTCTGTTTGCTTCGCTTTCGAAGGCATTGCCCCTCGCCGGGCCCTGGGACCGTCGAGGAAAGGCGGGTCGGGATGCAGCGGTGGCCCCAGGGAAGCGGTTTGGACTGCTGGGGGTCCACTGCGAGGGCAAGACCACGACGTCGGAGATCTGGGAGACAAGCCCTGAGATCCGGGCGCTGCAACCTTTTCGCTCTGGGCGTTTTCGCTCCGATTCTGGGCCCTGGGAACCGTACGGATCGATCCGGCTCGAGAAGCGCCGCGGAAGGATGGGGTCGCGCACTCGGGAGCGAATGCGCACATGCTGGCGCAAGCATGCTGTTGCGGATCCCAGACCCGCTCTCGGGTCCACGCAGTGTGGGCGGGCTTGGACCCGTGCTCAGGTCTGCCACTGCAGCCGGCCCAAGAAGCCTGGGCTCTTCAGAACGTTTGTCCACGATGCCAAATTCGGAGACTTGGTCGTGGAGGCGAACCACAGCCGTGTTGTTCCAGAACGTCCCACCCTGCGCGGGGGAAGTAGCGGTCGGTCCCGTCCAGAAAAGGCGGCGAATCATAGACATGTGCAGAGCTCCTGGGCCTGCTCCACGCCTGCGCTGGTATTCCGCCAAGGGGCGGACGTGCGTGAACCCCTCTGCCTTCCCCCCTGGCCAGACCCACGTCCGAAACCCGCACGCGCTGCCAACTTCTCTTGAGATGCCCTCCGTTCGGACCTGCATATGGCGAGTTCGTGTCATGACGACGTCGACGTTTGCCCCTGACTCCACTTTCGGCTTCCGGGCCATACCTCGGGCCTCAGGCGGCCGCTCGGGACGATCCGGGCACCCCCGGAAAGCCCTCGGCGAGGCGCAGCCGCTGGAACGCACCCCGAGGCAGGAAAACCGCGGAGAACCGACGAAAACGCCCGACAACATCGAGCCTCGAACCCGAAACGTCCCCCCCCGCCCCTGAGCCGGCCCCCCGCCCTCAGTGTCGCCCATGATGGCCAGGAGAGGCCAGAATCGAATCGGATCGGCAGTCGGAATGAATCGGATCGGCGGAAATCGGCAGCCAAGTCGGGAGAAGTCGAATCGGTGGACATCGGCAGGCTAGAAGGGCTCCCGCTGACAAAACCAAAACCCAAATCGGAGTCCGAAGCCGAATCGGAACCGATCGAAATCGACCCGGATCGAATCGGAGGAGTCGAAACGGGCCCTGTGATGGCCGCTGCCGCCGCCCGCTCGTGGGCGGCAAGGGAGGCGCAGAGCGCGGCGGGGCGTGCGCCCTGGTGCTGGCGTCGCCGAGGGGCCTGCCGCCGCCGCGGGGGCGCGTGGCGAGGAGGCACAAACCGGCTGTACACGACGTCTGTGCAGGAGCACCACCGACCAGAGAATAGGAGAAGGAATGGCCGACCCGACCAATTCCACCGCGTCAATGATCGATCCCCACGATGTTCTGAACAGGCGACGATGCAGCGGCGGCAGCGGACGGCGGAGGAGGAGGAGGAGGAGGAGGAGGAGGAGGAGGAGGAAGAGGAGGAGCCGCGGGCGCCCGAAACTCCCCGAATGACATGCCCTCAGGTTCGCGGCGGCGGTGGCCAGCTCGCTCGCCCGCAGAATCGCGGCGGCCGCGATATCCACCACAACATCCACCACCTGAACCTTTGGTCTCGCTGGCCGGCGTGGCCCCACGCCTACAACGACATCGAGGACCCAGAGGTCCCGCAGCCCCGCCTGGCACAAGCGGCTGCGGAGGGCGCGAGCCGACCCGCGCGAGTCCTGCTGCTGCTCCTCCTTCTGCGCATCGTGAAACCGATCCCCATCCCCGCAGGCATGGCCTCCGCCCTAGTGGCGCGGCGAGGAGGCAACCACCAGCTGCACACGACGACGCCGAATCGCTTGAAGGCTGTTCGCCGTCGCCGTCGCCATCGCCGTCGCCGCCCCCGCCGCCGCCGCCGCCGTCCTCGTCGTCGTCGTCGTCCTCGTCGTCGTCGTCGTCGTCATCATCATCGTCGTCGCGTCCCTTCAGGGTCGACGGCACCGGCAGTGTGGCCTTCGCAATCAGCTGAAAACGGCGTCTGCGCATCGTTGCACCGATCCCCATCCCCACTGGCATGGCCTAGGCCCCACTGGCCGACTTACCCTTAAGGCGGGCGCGGCGAGGAGGTAAAAATCAGCTGCACACGACGATTCCCCCGGGCGCCCAGCGTAGGAGGACTGCACCGATCCTGGCCAGGGCGAACAAGGATCGGTGCATGCGTCTTCCTGGCTTGGGCAGGGAAGCAAATGCACCGACCTTCGGCCCAGGATCGGCCCGACCAGGATCGGTGGAGGTGTATGCAGGCGAGTGTGGACAAGACACGCGAGAAGACATGGGGCGCGAAACGCATGACACAAGAGCACCCTTGATTTGCAAGGGACAACCTACTGATCAAACTCGAGTGCAGGTGTACAGTTGGTGCCCTCCGATCCGGCGCCCAGCAGCAGCGTCGTCGGCGTGGCCGTGGGCGCGCGGGAGGAGGTACGATGATTGCATGGGATACGAAACCATTGGATTAGGAATCCAGGGTCTGGAAGCTGGTAGAACGCCAACCGTGGAGTGGCCAGGGATATCACCGCCGCCCTCATCAGATCAGGCATCCTCCAAGGTCTGAAGCCTCCTGGGCACATTCCTTAACGAACGCCCCCACTGTACTGCACGCGTTCGATCGTCCGACTCCCCATCGGCACTCCAGCGGCGCGCTGCTCGAGGACCTTCGCCGTTCGGCGAGGCAGCGCTGTCCTCCGCCAGCACTGAATTTACATACACATGTGTGTACGACAGGCTCGTGTCGTGAAGATCCAAGTGTTGGTTTCTGACACCGCCAAATCGCTCCATGATGGTCGATTCTGGGCCAACGGCGGCGTTCAACCTTGAACACCCGCGCTGGGGTCGCCGCCGCACCGGCACGACACGAACCTACCGTATGCATGTACGGAGTCCTCTGTATTGAGAGATGTAACTTTCTTCAAAGAGCCCAAAAGCCCTATTGGCCGGAATCTCCAGCGCGTCCCGCATGCCTTTGGGGCTTCAGGAGTGCCTTCCCTGGAGGCTGGAGAGCATCAAAACGGCCCACGAGGGTTGCAAGAGGACCCCGAGACGGTCCAAGTGGGCCCCGAGTCGGCCAACACAAACCCGACGGCTTCGAAAAACGCGGCGACTAGCCTCTTGGATTCATCGGTTGGCTTCTCCACGTGAAGAGCTCAAGCATCATCCCGAGCACGGCGGGAGTGGGTGGCACAGTCCCGAGGCCACTTACACGACCACGATTGGGAACCTGACGATCCAACGCATACGCACTCTAAGCGAGCTTGGCTCACCTAACTTCGCGCGTCGCGCACCGCGATGCGCGGCCATCTCCGCGCCCTCGCGATGCCGCCCTGGAGAAGGGCACCCTTGCGGCCCAGGCCGCAAAGCGCGACTCGCGATCATCTTCGCGCCCATGCGGGCGACGGCGGACGATCTCACAATCGAACGACGGTTATTTTTGACCAGTGTCCGATCACGCTACCTGGTTATCCTGGCGGTTCCCTACACCTCACGCTGGGAATCTTCGGATGCGCACGTTCCCGAAAGAGTGCTCTCACTAACGCGATCTTCGTCCTCAGAAAATTGGCGGGCAATTCCGGGCATTCGCACGGTGGGAGCCTCGTGCGCTGGCCTGCAGCTCTGGACTTTCGACTGGTGGGCGCCCGTTCGCTATCGTTTGCCGCCTGGCGCTTTGCACAGCAACGATCGCACTGCGAGGGTGCAGTGATCCACTGCTCGGGGTCCATGTGGGTCAACATCTATGAATGAGCGGTGCACGCCCCTCCTGAACGATCCCCGCTATCACCCATTCCAACTTTCCTTGCCAATCAGACCACCACCGGACACACCAGCATCGTGTAAGGATGCGGGAGAACAAACAGAAGGACCCCAAATCGAATCGGCCATCGACTTCAATCCAAGTGGCAGAATTCGGCAAGCAGATCGGCAATCATCGGAACCGACGTCCGCCAGCTCAAGCCGAGGCGTACGCGATGAAACCCAATCCAACATCGGAACCCAGAACCGAATCGAATCGAACCGAAATCGGAATCCTCGAAACCAGATCTATTCGAATCGACAGCGTCGAAATGGTTCCTGGAGGAGCCGCTCGCCCTGCCTGCTGTGGCCCCTGTGAGGGGCAACGATGGGGGGTCAAGGCAGAACATGATGGACCCACGAACCCGGAAAGGGATATAGACATGTGGAGCATGGACACGTTTTCACGATACCCAACTGGGCAACACCTCACGAAACATCCCACGAGACACTTCACGAAACATCCCACGAGACACCTCACGAAACATTCCACGAGACACCTCACGAAACATTCCACGAGACACCCCGCGAAGGGTCGTGCACGTGCTCGTGCTGGGGTCGTGCTGGGGTGTGGTCGTGCTGGGGAGTGGTCGTGCTGGGGTGTGGTCGTGCTGGGGGGTGGTCGTGCTGGGGGGTGGTCGTGCTGGGGTGTGGTCGTGCTGGGGGGTGGTCGTGCTGGGGCGTGGTCGTGCTGGGGCGTGGTCGTGCTGGGGCGTGGTCGTGCTGGGGTGTGGTCGTGCTGGGTGTGGTCGTGCTGGGGTGTGGTCGTGCTGGGGTGTGGTCTTGCTGGGGTGGGGTCGTGCTGGGGTGGGGTCCTGCTGGGGTGTGGTCGTGCTGGGGTGTGGTCGTGCTGGGGTGTGGTCGTGCTGGGGTGTGGTCGTGCTGGGGTGTGGTCGTGCTGGGGTGTGGATCGTCGGGTCGTGCTGGGCGTGCTGGTGCTGTGTGGTCGTGCTGGGGTGGTCGTGCTGGGGTGTGGTCATGCGTGGTCGTGCTGGGCGTGTGTGCTCGCTGCGTGCTGAGGTGTCCCGCACCCTGTGATTTATCGATCGGGATTTCAAAAACAAGCGTTTCGCCTGAGACTTCCTCAAATTTTAATCCGCCGGCCTCCTTCGACCTCGATATTTATCAGGGAAAAAATCCGCCGGCCTCCTTCAAGTTGGCACCGGGGGACAGGTTTACCCACTAAAAGAGAACCCTGGGCCGGCGCCCTTTCCGGGAAAAAGGGGGGCATAGGGCGGGACGCATCGACTTCGACGGGCCGATACATGGCCGATGCATCGCCCATGTTTCATTGGCGGGCCAATCGCACACACACTGGCTGGGCACAGTGCCCTAATTTCAACGATGCGCCGTCGATTGATCAACGATGTATCAGCCATACGAAGTCGATGCGTCCCCCTATGTATAAACATCTGTATTCGCTGCAATAACTGGCGATATGGGGGCGGGAGGGGGGAAGGGCATAATGCAACGCCTCCCCCCCCGCCGCGTGGGTCCGGCACCGCAGACTGTGGTGCAGGACGCACTGCGGCAGTGTTGGGGGCGCAGTGGGGGGAAGTGGGGTCGCGCTATGGGGGGGAGGAAGGAGGGGGGAGGGGGGGGAATAACGCGCGTCATGGCCAACAGGGTGAAACAAAAACGCCCTTCGAATGTTAGCTTGGGGGGCGCGCGTTTAAAGACATAGTTTTCGTGCTCGGGCGAATCGCGGGGCGGCGCCCGCCAGATTGAACATCAACAGCGGCGCCAGTGATTACCGCTAGCGCCCAGCAGCCAGCGGTAAGGCGACCGACAGCACAGACTGGGGGAGGGGAGGAGGGCGGGAAGCAAAGGCGGCGGAAGCACGGATCGTGGCGAAACCTGTTCGAAATGCACAGAAACTGTTGTCGGCGCTCGCCCCACACTTTCCATGCTCTTTTCTGTCGAACCGATGCGCTTCCTTTGCCCTGGCCGCAACAACGGGGGCGCCAGCTGCCTCGCGGGCCCACAAGCAAGGCGGGCTGGACGAAAGGGGGGCGTGGCCAAGCGGGAATTTGCCCAGCAGCTCACATTGCTGATTTTCCGAGCGCCCCCTGGCGCCGAAAGAGGCCATGCGCCATGCATCGAGGACTGGCCCCTCGGCTGGGCGACCGAAACCAGCAACGCGCAGCAGGTTTCGCAACCTCCCCTTTCCTTCCGCAGCCTTTTGTCCGACCCGAGCAAGGCGGACAGCCCTCCTCCCACCTCTGTCGTGGTTTATGTAGTCGTCGTCGACGAATACGACGACGAAGACGAGGACGAAAACGAGGAGGACGAGCACGAACACGAGCACGAGGACGAGAACGATGGACGGCGGACGGCAGACGGCGGCGACGACGACGCACTGCGGATGCCCTATGGGGGGGGAGGGTGCTACGAAAGCCCGCTGTAGTCGACAACGACGACGAC